CAGAAATTAATAATCATTTGCAAGTTCATGTGGAGTGCATGGCTGATCTTCATGCCAAGCAAGAGGCAAGCTGAAGTCAGAGAAGAGGGTGTACTTGGGGAATGAGTTTTAAGTTTGAGGCTTAAAAGCAGACTGGATGAAGTCTGTGTTTATAAAGCTAAGATCCAGCACAGTTACACTAATCTGATCTGGTCCACACTTCTGTTTACACTGGTCACTTAGCCTAGAGGATTGTGCATGTGGGCTTGCTTGTGCATACGCATCCATGAGACCTAAACACCTACATGGATTTTTTTTTTTATACCCTCTAAAAAAGCAGGTCAGGACTCAGCATTCACTGGGCATGAAACAACATTAAACTATAAAATGTTCCCTGCCTGGTGCTAGCAAGGATTTCAAGTTTGGGGCACAAGCAAGTATCCGGGAGTGCTGTAGATATATTCACCACAGGTATCTGATGTGCTGCTTCCTAGGTGGCCTTTCTTAACATGACATCTGGTGTCATGTAGTAGGAGAGAAAACAAGAAGGGGAGAAGGAGATGCCATAAGGCTGCTGCCCAAGAGCGGGTCCTGCCTGTGGTCCTCTTTAAGCCCAAGGGCCGCACCAGGAGTGCAGTGAAATGCCTCTGCAGCTTCAGGGACTTGGCAGAGCCTGGAGCTAGAGAGCTACTGCATCATGGTGAACTCATGGCACATGGGAGACAGGAGCTGGGGGACAGATGATTGAACACCACACTTCAAGCACAACAATTAGCTTGCACTAAACTTAGGGCACCTATAGGCACATCACTGATAATTCAGAGAAATGTATCTTGTTTGAGTTTACAAAGCTGGAATTCAGCCAGTGAAAACAACCACATGAAAAGACCTTTAAACTTTCAGGGGACCAAGAAAACCTCACCTTCATTTATGTCCCATGTGAAACCTTTCACTTCACCAGTTGCAGAAACATGGCATGTAACTGAAAGGGTATTGACTTGTTCTTAAAGGGAAAAATAATTCGCATAATATAATACTTTTGTGAAGTATTATTTCTGTGTGCGTAACATGATGACGAGTTGATAAAGAGGGAAATGTATTCTTGGAAATGCAGACTTCAGATCCTGTTGATAATAGGTGAAAAACTTGAATTGTATTTATTCATCGAGGGAATATCCTGTCTCTTTAGCATAAAGCCTGTTCTCTTCTGCTTGCATTTGTCTAAATATATCTTGAATTTCCATTCAGCTCTGGCTTGTTGGTTTGGGTTTTTTTTTCTTTTTAAGTAATTATTTACAAATTAGATTTCTTGAGAGTAAACTATCAGAGGAGACACACTCCCCTCTCTTCAAATGTATGCAATAGATCTAATTATTTTTCTGTAAAACTACAAACAACCTTCTAAATAATGACAATCATTAGAAAACATTAGGGTCTGTCACTTACAATCTCTGCCAACTGCTGATAACATTTTATTACTGCTTAGAAAGGTTGATTAAAGCTTGTAATAGATTTAGTGAGGGTGAAAGATTAACAAAAAGGTATTTATGATAGAGACACTAAAACATAATATGTTCTCAGTAAACACTTGAGAAAACCCAGCCCTGTGACATTTATAGATGTTGCTCAAGACATCGCTTTTCATCTGCACAGTGAGACCAGTAACAAGTTCCTACATGCTGAGCAAAAAAAAAAATAAAATAAAATAAAACAAGAGAGAAAAAAGGAAGAGGAGCACATTACCTTTGTATGTCCCATGTCAGAGCAAGTGAGAAAACGCTCTTCAAAAATAAGCCAGCTGAAACCTCAGAATAAATTCCTGGGAATGCTATTGTTTGACCATTGGACAATCTCCTTTGAAATTACAGCAATACAAAACTAAAAAACAGGTTGGATCATAAGGTACTGACTAAGGGGCATCTATTTATGCCTGGTCTTGGAGAAGGATGTCACTAACATCCCTCAGTCCACCCACCCCACATCCCTGACCGGGGGGACAGACATGCTGTGTGGGGCTCAGCGCTGTAGAGCACAGCACTGAATACATCATAGCTGGCACTCTGTGATGGGCTGGCAAGATGGGCATCAAAGCTTTCCTCCTGCTCAGCTTTCACTGGGAGAAGGCACAGCCAACAATAGGCTAGCAACTCTGAAGAACATTTTTCACTCTGGAGCTATTACAAAGGATGGCACCCACATCCCTCAACAGCAGTGAGGTCCATCATCCTCTGGAGATGCCAGCCTTGCAGCACAGTGACTTCATGGTCTGCACTGAGCCTAAATGCCTCAGGTCAGAACATGCATTCCTGTGGCATAGTAGAGCCCCCCTGAAACATTTGATCATTTATCCAGACATAGGGACCACTTGCAGGTACTAATTTAACAGACTGCAGGATCATCTGCTTCTCACTTCAGAACAGCCTCTGCTGAGACCAGTTATGAAAGACCTGGTGAAGCTGAGAAGCAGGTGCCCAAACTCAGCAGTTAAAACTCAAGCCAAGGATGAGAATGCACATGCCATGGCAGGGATCTTCAGCTGTCCTAGGTCAGTCCTGACCTTCAGCATTCTGCTCTGCCTCTCATCTCCCCTAGTCAAGGAGATAGAGCAGGAGGGTTTGCCTGGCTTCCATAAGCCTGTGGCTTGCCTTAGCAAAATAGACTGAGGTCTATTCCAACAAACTGTGGTGAGTCAGAGGATGCAGAGCATCCACACTCGGACACTAGGGAGCAGGAAAAATCTCCAGTAGTGAGCTGGAGCAGGCAGTGAGGGGGCTAACTGGTTCAGACTGCCTACCTTAAGCCAACACAGCAGGACTAGATGACTTCTTAGGGTCTTTTTCTGACCTAATTCTGTAACACCCCTCATGAATGATCTCTCTGTTTTGGTCTGGGTTTTTTTTTTTGATGATGGGCCAATATTTAACAGCACACCTCAACAGTGACCAACTGACACCACAGAAATAATTTGTTGAAACAAGTGACCAGCAAGATCACAGCCAAAAGTAAACACACTGGAAAATAAAAACAATTTTTGTGCTGTGCATGCCTTGACAAGTCTATACCAGATATATATACACAGTCTGTAAACACATTAATGCGCGGCTAATCAGAGAGGTCAAACTGCGGTGAAGCAGAATGAGCTTGTGGTTAATCCAAGCAGAGAACCACTGTCTGCAGCCTGTGAAAATGCTTGTAAGTTAAAGTACTGCAAAGTGGATGACAGATTACAGAACCCGTGAACGCAAATCAGCCTGCCCCAAACTGTTCCTCAAATGCACTACACCGGTGACCCTCACTTCACGGATGACTCACACCTTTCATGTTGAAAAGTGGAAATTTTTTTTTAATGTCAAGTGATGGTCAAAACTAAGATTGTTACTTATTATGGAAGATGTAAACCCAAATCTGTCCCTCATTTAACCATACTCCACTGTGTCATAGCCAACATATGAGCCCAAATGCATCTTCTGAGATTAAGTTAGACAGTGATGGGTTTTCTCCCTCATTCTTTCATACCTGGAAAATTAATAAGGCCTTGAAAAGAAAATATTTCCAGGCTATATAAGGACACACAAAAAACAACAAATGTAAACAAAAATACCATATTTATGTGTTGATGTAGTGAGTCAGAATAAACATGACAGCTTTACCTGAGAAATCAGAGTCTGAAAACAAACCCCGCATGTTTGGCAACAGGCACAGAAGATTTTTGCAAGAAAAACCAAAAATAAGCTTAGCAACATACTTTACAACTCCCACAGGTAAGTCTTGTTCACCCAGGCAGGCTCACCAAAGTCAAGAAAAAAGAAGAATCCTATAAATGCTGCGTGCCGAGCACCCCTCAAGCCCTGTATTCCACATGCTGCCTGTATCCCACAGAGCTTCCAGCTGAAAGCTGTTCCTACAGGGCTAACCTGCTCAAATAGCTATATTTCTCACGTTAAAAATAACAGCAGCCCAGCAAAGGTTGGCATAGCAAGCTAGAGCCACAGAGCACTGGGACAGGCACAGTTCTTTATTTCCAGCATTTATTCCTGATCCCCGTGGCATTTGAATACCTTCAATATGATCCAGAAAGATGATTTTCTACCAGGGCAACAAGGATAACAAGCAGATTGCAAAAGACACTGCTAACACTGGATTGTGATGATAAGTTAATTCTACATAGTCTGAACCATTTTGGAGTAGACAATGGATAGAGGCCTTCCACCTGACTGAATTTCTGGTTTGATTGTGACAAACTTAGTCGTGGAAGACATTGAGGGAAATTTTGAGAGCTGGATGGTGTGTCCAATACATTCAATTAAAGGATGAAGAGAAGATCAGAGGAACCATGAAAGCCATGAAAACCTCCATACTGTCAGTGTCTGAACAAAGCCAAATATCCTGAGTGCTGGTTCATCGGCTGTGAAAGCAGCAGATTAGCAGAGAAATCCAGATAGGTTTGACTTAGCAGGATTTTTGCCTCCAGCCTCAGATAGAGGAAGTATTTCAGTTTTTGCCTCCCAATTAGGTGCCACAGCACAAATTCACATTAATAAAAATTGCTATTTTGTCTGTATCTCCTTGATTCAGTAACACTATTTCGGTGGGTTTTTTTTTTTTAAAGAGGTTAAACCATGATGTTTTACCAAGACTTTTTGTTCTTGAGAACCAAAGCATTCTTTTTTCTTCTAGCTCAGGAAACAGCTGCATAGGCAAAACTATGGCTTGTACTAAATGCTTTTAAAGAAATGGCATCCCTTCTCTTTCTTTTTGCATAGCATAGACATTTTAAGAAAAGATGCTGAATTTCTCAGATTAAACAAATACCTTCTAGCAGCAACAGAATAACAACCTTTCCCAGAACTGTGAACTCCAATTTTTGCCTCTTCTGCTTCTAGTGTAGCACCATTTCCCACACCTCAGGAATCACACATTCCATAATGATTTGTCTCAAGGTGGAGAAAAGGTAGGTATAATGTGTATGTTTTAGCTGGTGTTTTTTTATAAGAAAATAAATGAAACTTTCACTCTCCAAATTCCATTGACTAAATGACCAGGGTTTTATTTTATCTTTCCCTGAGCTCAGTTTGCCATCTCTTGAAGTCAGTGAGAATTTTTTTTTTTCAGTGGGTACTGAAATAAATCATAATGAATCAATAATTATCCACACTTGCTTGATAGCTGGGACTTCTGTTATATTCCACAGATATCAGGAAAGTTTTCTGTTATGTTGCTCAGTTTCATTTTTTTCCTGCTGCCCCCTGTTCACTCTGTTCTTGAAGCCAAATTTCCAGCATAGCTTTTCCTGTTAAAGGCAAGAGATTATTCCTCTAGAGAGGTTTTCTTTCTCAGGGTGGCATTTTAGCTACTGACAAAGTCAATGTTCTTTGAGAATTTTGGGCTCCACTCCTACTACCCTTAGGGCAGGAATAAACTTCCTAGAAGAAATCACTCCTGGGGGTGCCGGAACAGGCCTTACATGGGCTGGAAGCTCCTTAGTTCCCAGCTCAGGGTGGCCGCTGCTCCTGACTCTCAGGCACTATGGTGCCCCGGCAGCATCTTCTCTCAAAATCACTCACCATTAATCTCCTTCTACTTCTCCTTGAAATTATGTTCATGTTATCTTTCTTGAGGAAAAATCATTTAACTTGAAATATGTCCTCACGATTACTTGCTTTCTCCAAGTTACTCCAATTTCATCATCTAGCGCTAGGTAAAACTTTAGTTCCTGACCTTGAAGTAAATCTGATTCAGCAGCAGCAATCTTCTCTATCTCCCTTCTGCAAACACAGAGTCCAAAAGCAAATTGGTCAGAAAAGAAGAATTCATATGCATATCAAATACACTCAGTCCTGCACAAATTACCAAATATCGTTCAATATACAAGATGCAGAGCTCTCAAACAATAGCTAAAGCATGTTCCCTGCTTTTTATGTGTTCCCCAAGAGCCCTGGAAAGGAACCCAAACCTGGAGGATCAATATGGTTTTTGACATTCTGTGTGCATAAAACTGCCTGGCATGTGCTGGTCAAGTTAAAATTCTACGTTAGTATAATCCCTCTACTTTACCAGCTTCTATACTGTTCCATGCACAGGTAGCAATTTGTGTGGATCATGGGTTACTGTGGAGCAATGTCTTGGAAACTCAGATGTTACTAGACTGTGCCTATATACCAGCTTCCAGAGTACGTTTTTTATGCTAGCCATCATTAGAAATCATCCTCAGCACAAGCCAAGTTAAGCCAAAAGCAGGGAAAAATACTTATTTATCCAGTCCAAAATAAGCAACACAGTTGCAGAAATTTATAACATATGGCTGAAAAGAAGGAAAGAAAACTCTGGCTTTCTTGCTCTAAAATCAAGTCCAAAAGGCCCATCATTCTCTCTGTCTCGCTTGGTATCTAGCTGCCAAACAAGACCTAAGCCACATCTGATTCACATGGCCAAGGTCTCAGAATTGGTGTATACACTCCATTTCAAATACATATTCCCAGGAGAGAACCTGCAGCCGAGGAAGGCAGCTAACTTACAACCTGCACTCCTTGGTGGAGTTCTGGGAAGGTTCAAATCCATCTCCCCTCCCACATTCAGGGGTTGGCTTCACTGTCCTTTCCCTGGACTGTTCACTGGCCTGCCTTCTTCAAATGCAAATGTCCCTTCAATAGGCCAGGTGCAGACATCCCTTATCCTTCACTGAACTATTGGTAAATGATTAATCCAGAGAGCAGCAAAACGCTCCCGCTTACCAGGGCAAATCTCAGTGTGAAGCTTTTCCAGGCTCTAAATTTCCTATTTCAAATCAATGTATACATTGACAACCACAGCTAATACAAACTTGTCAGCTTAATATGTGCTTTTGGGATAGAGATCCATGGAGTGATTGATGGACCCCATCTTCTCCCAGAGGGTTAGCATGAGCCTGATGTGATGTAGTCACCAGGACTGGAGCAAGAGCAGAAAGAGTCCCTGTTGTCAAGTGTGAGAGGGACAAGCATTTGATCACTCTTCAGAATTTTAGGCCACAGGAATCTGTGGCATCTGTGACAAAGAGTCTGAATAAATATATTCTTTCACCAGATTCTGCTATGTATTTATTAATAAAACATAACAAAAGAAGTAAAAGCCACAACAGAATCTAAGAAAATCATAAACCTCAGCGCCTCTAAGTCACCTTATAAAAACTGCCAGAGACAGCCAGACAGGCTGCTGACTTGCAGGCAGCATCTCAGACAGCCTGAGAACACAGCTCCTGTGTGCAGCTGAATGAGGGGAAGGTGTGTCAGTATCAAATAGAAACCTCTGCTCTGCTGTGCCCACAAGCAGTGCCTCAGACTCCACACATCACCCGGCCCCAGTCCCGCGATCAGTCATCGGAAACCAGATCCAGCACAGAAATGTGCTGAATGCGGAACTGCCAGCGCTGAGTCAGTCTGTTTGGGGCTGCCCCCACGTATAAAAACATTTTGGTTATTGATCTAAAGATTCATGACTCACAAGCTCAATATAACAGTGGGATTAAAAGACTGCTTTGTTCTTGGAAGTGACACATACAGTCTCCTCAGGGCACCAGCCCTCCTCTGTGACACCTGCTCCCTCAGAAGAAAATCCACAAGGACTTGAAGAGTTGCCCAAAAAACAAGTAAGAGGGGAAGTGGGATGTGCAGCTCTCACTCCATCCATTCATCCATCCTTCTATCCATCCATCCATACATCTATCCATATATACATACGTACATCCACTCACCCTTTTCTAGCTCTCAAGGCTTGGATAAGGCAACTTCATCTATTCTGCGGTGTGTCACACACGATTTTCATAATGTGTCTTCTCACTTATTAGCAGATGAATCTGAAATTCCCCTCACCATAAGGGATAATTCACTACGTGAAACTAATAAACAGCTTTAGATCAAAAGATCTCAAGTCAGACTCTTTACACGTGAAAATGTGAGAGTGACCTAAAGAAGTACTTTCTAAAGCCACAGAAATATTTAGGGGCCAAACTTCAAGGATCTCATCCAATTTATACATGGAAGCTGTAGAAGCTGCAAGTGACCTTTTATGGTGCTCAGTCATTTACAGAAAACACAAGAGCATACTCTCCCAGTGTACTCTAGCATACTTTCCTTGCCTGGGGAAATTCATTTTGGATGTGTGATGTCTCTCTGAATTAACTGGCACCAGTTTTGTAATCAAGCACTGTTGAGCCAACAGAAAGACAAGGACTTACAGCATTTTCGTGTGGAATACACACACACAAAAAAACCCACCACCCTAAGAATTGGCCCAATATGCTATAAAAGACCACAATACATGCATTCATTCATGAAAAAATTAAGTATATAATCACATGATGAGCAAAAGACTTCATACGATGGTATACATATTTAAAACACATACAACCCTATTTAAATAAACTGCACACTGTGCTAGATTCCAAAAAATATGAAGTTACAATAATTGTCACTTTCAGTTTTATATAATTTTCCAAATAAAAATGTGAGAGTTGCCATTAACTAGTACTGACAATGCACATACAGTACACACATTTGTCAATTTCATTAACCTTCCAAATTAGGTATTCACAGGGAGCTAATGGCAGCATAACACATCATTACAATATTCAATGCAATTTCATGGATATTATGTATAGGGAGAAATTTTAGGCTCTCTTGTCCTTACAGCTGTTAGAAAATATTACACTTTGCAAATATCCCATTAGGGATCGGGAAATGCTAAATAGCAGAATCTGAATAGCATGAATTATGTCCCCCTTTCCCGCCTCTCCTTGTCAGGAACAGGGTGCCTCTATTTGTGTCATATTTGGCCATAAGTAAGGAATACAAATCATTTGCCTGGACTTTGCACCCTCCTCACAGCCTCAACAGCTAGGATTAGAATCAACGAGGTTTGAGCTTAATTTACCCATTAACTTTCTTTATGACCTTGGGCAAATCACTTAATTTCTTGCAACTACAATTCCTTGCTTCACAGGCACAGGGTAGATAAAATCTGTTATGGATCATGAGCAACTGACACACCAGTAGAAAGGTTACCGTCCCTCTCATAACAGAAAACAGGTGTGGGAATAGGAAATAAAACAAGAGGTACTTTGAATTATCTAAAGTAAGACATTCAGAAGAGAAGCAAAATGAAAGAATCTTAAATAAAAGGAAGATTCTTACAGTCAGAACTCCGGAGAAAGTAACTTTGTGGAACACAAAACAGAGAGATGTGTCATAGCACTGGTCACCTCAGAAAATAGTATGTTCGTATCAGCAGCAAAAGAGTATGAAAGGAGTATGAAAGTCCTGCAAGACGATGATGTGAATGACAAAAATCACATTTTCCAGCTTTGACGTACTTTTAAGGGTCTCTTTTCTGGACCACTTTGTATTCCTCAAACCAGTCATCTGTGAGCCAATGGGTTTCATGGAGATTGTTCTAGTATCATCGAAGAATCCTTAATTTAAAGGTTACAAAGATGTTTGCCTCTCTTTTGAAAGACTTTAGAAAACTAATAAGATATAATAAGTTTTCAATGTTTTTCCTTCTAATTGCCAATAAAGTGCTTAGAAAATAAAAGCCATTAGCAGTCACATTACAGGAAAGTAAACACACACCTATGTGTGATGGAGAACAATAAATTCCCATGCAAGCCATCCCCTACAGAAATGGACAAGGTTATCTAAAGCAGTTTTAATTGAGCTTTGCCTTTCTGCTTGATGCTGTTTTCCCTGCAGGTCCTTAATAGAGCTCAGTAAGGATCTGTTCACCTTGTCAAACAGGACTAGAGCAAAATGCCCCTGTAGCTTACCAAAGAAAAATGATGTTATCTGTAGGTGGTGGCATGGTGAGCAGTGTCAGCAGCAGCCCTTCCACATTGTTTCTAACCCAGTTGGCTATATTGCATCTTACAATATCTGAGGTTCTCTATTCATGGGAAATGCTGTGGATGGTCCAGCTTCACAACAGCCAGCTCCTGTTAATTTGAATCACTTTGGTTTGCTTTTCTCACTGTTGCTCTCACTGCCAAGGGCTGTCAAAACACATTGTCCTGCTTTCAGAAAGAGCCACATACTGTGTCATGGAGAGATACAAAACACAGCTGATAAAACTACACAGAAGAGTTCAGCTGTCTTCCTAGTCTATGAATTTAAATAGCATTCTCCTATAGAAATGAAGCAGTTTTTACATTAAGTTAATTTGTCTTTTTTCTTTTTTTTTCCCCCTCCATATGGAGCACCTGCTTTACTTTGCCACCTCATTTTCTATTTAGTTTTCTCTTTTAGCTCCGTTTTCTATTTTGGAGATTTGACATCATCTATGCTACCAGAAAGGTGAGCTTTTAGCCATCTTCTTTTCAGAAGAGTCCATTCAACCAGTTCTGGTGGTTTAAAAAGTTAGCTATAGGGGTAGCTTTTTATTGCTCCACGTCTTAATTTCCCATTATAACATAAAGATAAAATGTAGAACAAATGGGTGACTCTACATCTCAACAAAGTAATGTTCCAGCCTGTTTAAATTCTGGCCAGCACAAAGCTGTCTGATAAGTAAGAGGGAGGGGAAAGTGAGGGGGGAAGTAAAATAAATATAAAAATGTATTCTTATAGTGTCAGATTTACCACAAACAGAAAAGAGTAAACTTTGACACAGGAGAGGGGGAATATTTTAATAAGGTGCCGTGCCAATGTGGCCTGTTATTCCTATACATAAAGTATCCTGGTGTCCTTTAAATTAAAAAAAAAAAGTCCAAGCTGGACAGAAGTGCCAGCAAATGTTA